ATGCTATCAAGTCATACAGCTCATTTACATATACATCAACATATATGTGCACTTGTACCATGTCACGAGAAACACATATATCATTATATCAAAACATACATATTTATATACAATCATTTCTATTATTATCAATCTGTACATTAGTCCTTATAATTTTATACTCTTATCCATAGTATCCTTAATTATCACATCATAGCACATATATCACTTCACAACAAAATAAACATATGATCATACCAAGTTTATTTATCTTATCATTTTTATTAGCCCATGAACACATGTGAGAACTATAGATATGTGAGTCTATAGAGGTTGTGCACTAATGCTGTCACCACAGCTCGTATAAATGCACCAAAGTGCCACGTAGAATTGCACCGTAGTGCCGTGTAGAAATGCACCGTAGTGCCGAATAGAAATGCACCGAAGTGCCATATAATAATGTCCATAAGGACCACATATCATTCCTTAAGAATCATATACATAGACTAAGGATCAAGTATGTGTCTCACAAGACTTCACACATGTTCCAAAGAATATATATATGTCCCGAAGGACCGCGTAGACCCTCGACTCTTGGTATGCCAACTATACCCCTAGCTCTCATGACACATAACATGGGCATTATCATTTATGTCATTTCACATGTTCACGTATTCATATTACCTGGGCATGTAATCTCATAGTTTTTGAACATAACTCATTATCACATTTTCATATAATCACATAGTCACATAGTTCACTTACACGTAGATCATTTCCATGTAATACACATGTTTTATATCTCAGGTTCTTGTATTCATATAACATATAATCACATAGATTACTTTCACATATACATGTTCTCATATAGTTTCTATCATTTCTCACACAATCACATTTATTCATGTATAGTATTTCATCTAAACCGTATAATAATGGCATATACTCATATCACCGAATAACTTCACCTGAATATATCTTTTGTTCATTTCAATGCATAAATCATATAACACATAAGTTTTCCTTATGTCATTTATGCTACTTATTCATATAATCTTATGTTATCTTCTAGGTAAATGCTACCTAACTTATCTCATTTTCCATTTATACCAGTTTAATCTATTTATTTAGTTAAATTTTACTTAAATCCTATACCATAATTCTCTTTAAATATACTTCTTCTCTATAACACTTATCTTATAGTTTGGCATCATCATTTATACTCAATTCCCTTCACTAATATATTATTCTTATATTACTCTATAGTCTAATCTTATTTAAACTCATCACCATTCTCAAGTAGTCATATAAATCTATTATATTGATTCTTATAATTGATCACATTTACTATGTAACATGCATGGTCACCTATCATATAACCTATTTCACATTCTCATATAATCATATAGATCATTCATATTAATTCCTATAACTTATCACACTGCATACATTCACACAAATCGTTAATACATCCTATAATATATATATCACATATACCCAAATCAAACATATACATATGATCATACATTCAGGCCTTCTAATATAGGAAATAGACTTGTCGCAAGTCTTATTTACGTTAAACATCATAAACTAACTTGTATGTACTCACCTGGCCTCACTAGTCAATTACAATCTCTTATCTTTCCCCTCGATCAATCTTACTTGTCAATGATTCCAGAACTTGATTAGGCTCTGAATCTACATAATTATACATTTTAAGAATTATTAGATACCTACACCTTGTAATTTGATACTAGCAACTTAAACGAACTTATTAAACCAATATTCACAATTTTCCTTTAGGGGGAATCGGTTCCCTACTATGGGGGTATCGATTCCCTCATGACATTATGGAAATTTTTGTTCGTTTGAAGGGGTATCAGTTCCCCCTTGAATGGGTACCGATTCCCCTAGCCCAGAAATCATATTTTTAGCTCGAAAATCACTTCATTTTCAGCTCAACACTTCATACTTCACTCCCTTTAATATTTCTAACTTTCATACACATACTTAAACTCATTTCTACTCCATAATCACTTCTTTAAACTCAAAATTCTATCATTTACATGGCATTCAAGAATCACACTAAATTTCCAACATGTTCTAAAACCCATTCTATCACTTCATATCTATTAATTTAACCCTTGGCAATTCAAATTAAGCTTCAAAATCTATTAACTCCTTCTATTTCAAAATTCACTTAAAAACTCATTTTTCTTAATTTCTCATAACTTGCTAATCTTTGAGTTTTAAGCCACCTGAAGTTTTCCTTAATCTTTCTTAACATCCCAAGAATCAAAACAAGCTTTAAAACGAAAGAATTAACCAACTGAAGACCCACTTACCTTATACAAGGCTTCACGGTGGAGTGGAGGAAGAAGAAGACTGAAGAATACTCTGGAGAAATTATCTTTTTTCCCACGTTTTTATATCCCTTAAAAAGAGAATAAAAATATTCTCTTAGAAAAGACCATAAAACCCTTTTTATTTCCAAACTTTACCATTAAATCCAACATCAACTTTATTCAATTAAATCCATGAACTTTTAACTTATTTCGAAATCGAGCACATAGTTTTTAAATTTTACAATTTAGTCACTAACCCTGATTTAGGATGTTACAGATCTCTAAGGCATGATTATTGCAACTATACATAGATCCTCCTGAGACATGTTCATACTGATGAAACCATTCTCTTCTTGAGGTCATGTGATATGTTGCTCCTGAATCAATGAACCATCATATATCTACAAATCTTTTTCTGCCTTCCACGGTAGTTGACGCTTCACAGCATAGAGCATCTCCATCATTTGAAGTGTTTGCGGTATTACCTTGTGGATTGAAGTTTTTATTTAGACTCCAACAATCCTTCTTTAAGTGACCCTTCTTTCCACAGTTGTAGCACTTTAAATTCTTCTTGCTCCTCGACTTCGATCTACCATGTTTGTGACTGCTGCTTTGGCCACGTTCTGTTGATCTCCCTCTCATCGTTGTCAACGCTTCTGCTTGTTGCAGATTTACTTGTCTGTCTTCCTTGTTCTTACGCTGATTTTCTTCTTGGAGAACAACAGCTGCAACGTCATCGAAGACTAGACTGGTAACATTACTGTTTGTCAAGTTTATGATGAGTTGATCATACGAATAAGGTAGACTTTGAAGTAGAAGTTCGGCACGTTCTTGTTCTCCTATTGTACATCTTAAGGATATAAGCTGAGAAAATAACGTGTTCAGTGTGTTTAAGTGCTCCGTCACTGAAGTAGATTCTGACATACGGAGAGTGTACAATTTTCTCTTAAGGAAAATTTTATTGTGCAGCGATGTGGCCTCATACAATTTGGTGAGATGATCCCATATCTCCTTAGCTGTCTTCTTCTCCTCGATGCTTGACAATACTTCATATGCTATTACTAGATGAAAGTTTGCCATAGCATTCCCGTCCATTTCGATCCATTTGTTTTTATCTGTGAAATCCACCGGCCTTTCACTGATAGCTGCTAGACAACCGTCTTTCCTCAGGATGACATTCATCTTCAATTTCCACAATGAGAAATTTCTCCCATTGAATTTTTCATTATCAAATTTCGTTGCCATAGCTTCTAGATAGCTCCCACTATTTCACTATCGTGAATAGTTCTCTGGAACCTTCAAAGAATGAGTAATAACTTCTTACTTTCTTATGTTGGAGGATCCACCTTTTTGGTGGCAACCACAAAGACAATAAGTAGATATTACACACTCTAATCTGGCTCGGATACCAATTGTTGCGGAAGACGGCTATCGGATAGAGTAAAATCGCAACTGATAATTTGAGAAAATAAAAATGAAGATAAAAGAGACACAAAATTTACGTGGAAAACCCCTAAATAATATAGGGTAAAAACCACGGACAACGGTAGAAGAATTTCTCTATGAGAAAATAGGAATTACAACTTCTCTCGATCTACCAAGGAGAAAACAATGATAATTCTCTCTTGATAAAAAGGAGAAAACAACTCTCAAGAAACTCTCTAAATTCTCTATAGTATTGGAAGAAAGCTAGAATGCTTTGGGATGATTTTGAAGCTAAATGAGCTAGGGTATTTATAGTTGAAACTTTAAGGACTAATTTGTAAATACCCTAAATTTTAGATATTAAATTTAGTAATTATCTCTTTATTTTTTCAACAATTTGATTGTCTAAATTTGACTATATTAGCCGCCCAAAACCATTTTTCCAGCCGACCCCATGTACTTTGATTTTCAACAGATATCTTCTTTTCTCGTTACGCTGCGGCCTTGGCAAAGCAGAAGAAAGATAACCCTCCCCATCAACGACCGATAGCTAACCGAAATGCCAATCCAAAAGCTCGAGGCTCGTCATCCAACACTGATTTATCAAGAACGACTATAACTCCAAGTTCAGCTACTAGCAGACTGAGTAGTGGTAAGCAGGGTTTCAAATCACGGTCGCGGTTTCGGTTATTTCGGATTTACCGTGATTGCGGCCGGCGCGGGCGCTATTGCGGTTGTCGCGGATAACTCGGACAACAGCGAAACCGCTATATCGCGGCCGAAATCGCGGTCGCGGACCGTTTTTTAAAACCCTGGTGGTAAGCTCAGTGTTGAAAATAGCAAGATAAGTGATAGTAGTGGGAGTAGTTTAAACTCAGTGAAGTTCGCATCCAAAATGCGAAAGAGCCAAAGAGAAACCTGGTTTGCATGTGTAATGAGGAGAGGGTCCTGCAGAACCTCAAAGAAATCACCCGAAAGAGAGAAAGCCTTTGATGAGGCCTCGTTCATCGGGAAGGCATTCGTTGTCAAAAAACTAAGGCCATTTTGGGCTGATCAATACCAGCCAACTTCTTTGAATGGATTCACCTGTCACAAACAAGAAGCTCAGATCCTGAAGCAACTTGTAAGTCCACTTAAAAGTTATTTTTGTTCCTTAATTTTTCATCCAATATGTTTAGTTCGCGATGCAAGTGATTCGGAATATGGCACAAAATTATTTTCTACTGTAAACTTTTAGGTATCTCTTCATAGGTGTCCTCATATATTGTTCAAATGACCATCTGGTTCTGGGAAAAGAGCACTAACAATGGCTTTTCTGCGTGAAATATACGGCGACCCTAGCTGGAATGTACGTTTTTCGGACACAAAACGATATCGGATTCTTTCACAGATTCTAAAGTTTGTTAGACGCCAAAGCTAACTCTAGCTTCTTTTTTCTCATTACAGGTATCTCATGAATTAAGACAATTCCAGGTTCAGGTAGAAAATACTAAATAAAGCATCAAAGTTAATGAATACTAAGGAAAGCCTAAAGATGATTCTATCACCATTGGTTTCAGAATTTGACATCTGGTGATTTGAATATGTGGATAGGAAAAAAGGGCAATGCAAGTTATTGTTCCAATTGCTTCAAGTGCTCATCATGTTGAGCTTAATGTGACCAAGGAAACAAATGCTAAATATGCATTAATGGGATTAGTTAAGGAAATAAGCACCAATTATACAACTATCCCAGAAGTCAGCAATGATAATTTCAAGACAAACTACAAAGGTTTAGTGTTTTTTTTGGGTAGTTTTCTTACATATGTGTAATCAAACCTCTCTTTGACAGTTTAAAGTAATCAACTTAAAGCTAATAAGGTTTGATGTTTATTTCAGTTTTAGTTCTTTATGATGTTGACAAGGGACCAGATAATATTCGTCACTTGATCAAATGGATCTTGGACTGTCATTCGGATTCATGTAAATTCATTCTTTGCTGTGAAGATGACGTGAATATCGTAGAATCGGTAACAAGTCGCTGCAGAGTCATAAAAGTCGATGCCCCGGTAACTCATGAGGTAAGTATTCTTTTAGCTTAGTTCAGGCATAAGAATGTTGTGTATAGGGTTGATCAGATAAGAACATGCCTTACTACGTGCTTTAAATCTAATCGAGTGATCGTTACAACTTGGATTTCGCAGATCATGGAGGTATTAATTCAGATTGCAAGGAAAGAAGACTTTGAGCTATCTTCGAACTTTGCTGCTAAGATTGCTGCCAAATCAAAGCAAAACTTGAGGAAAGCAATCATGGCTCTTGAAGCATGCAAAGACACAAGTAATAACTTAGCAAATACCGAGTAGATGCTAGATTTCCAATAAATTGATACAAGTAAACCATTTTACCCCATATAAGGCTCCAATTTTCCCCCCTTATGTGTGAATGGTATATTCTGCCGTTGCAGATATCCTTTCGTCGATGATCAGCCTATTCCACTTGGATTGGAGGAGGTCGTGACGGAACTCACAACTGAAATCCTGGCCGATCCATCGCATAAATGGCGAGTCTTTTTAGCTTTTATATTTGGAATATTATCTTAGCTTTTAATGAAAAAACAGCAGTGACGCTTCATATCATTGTCAGATTACCTTCTGTAAGGACAAAGCTTCAAAAACTTGTTGGAGATTTTGTTCATCCTAAACTGATCCTCCAGGTGATGAATTCAAACCCACTAAATGGGGAAAGAAGTTGCTAAGATTCTTTTTCTTCTTTTTTTTTTTTTGCTCTGATATAATTGTTTTCTTCCAAGCTGCAGAAGCTGGTAGAAGAGTTTCTAAAGAAAGTTGAAGCCGGTTTAAAAAGGGAACTTTACTACTGGCATGCTTACTACGTGAGTTTAGCTCCTGAAATCGTCGCTTTGTTTTGCAGACAAGCAAAAGTTACTTATAGTTTATTTGTTCCAGGAAAAGAGACTCCCAGCAGGAACAAGTGCTTTGTTGAAATTAGAAGGTGAACTTTGTCATTTCTTATGATGCTTTCTTCTTCTTTTTCAATCGTCTTAATTTTTTAGAAGAATCCTCTGTTTATGCTCCCTTTTCTTTTTCCCTTGCAGAGTTCGCAGCCAAGTTTATAGGTATACATAGGAAGAGTTCTTCCAAAGGTCAGTGTGTAGCATTGAGCTAACTATGCCTTTGTTCAAATAATTTTGTTGCAATTAGTAAATACTGAGAATTCTGTTCTTGTAGAAATATGTTTATCACTCGGATAAGATAAGAACGGTCGAGCTCAAATATGTTACCTATGTTACAAACTCAAGTGTACGTCCAACACGAATGTAATTAAACATGCAAATAACATAGTAAATGATCGTTGGCAATCAAGTCTCATTTAGATTTCACCCAAACCCAAACTTTGTGCATATAGGAGGGAAAAGTACAGGTACAAGTGGTTAACTAAAACCTTCGTGTTGGCTATATATGTTTTGCCTATTTTCACCACACAGCAGTAAGTATAGGTACAACCGGTCAACTACATACATGAGAACCCCAAACTAAAACCTTAACAATCTATCCAGAGAGTTTTGAAACTCCAACACGTTCTATTTTTGCTTTTGGAATAACTAAAAGCAACAAAAACAAGATAGCTATCCAAAGCTTTCACTTCTGTGATCACCCTTCAGTTTCTTGGTGTACTAACCTGCAGACTTCTTATTTGTATATCTCTGCCAATACGGACAGATGTTATACTATAAGTTCCAAGAAGAATGGAAGAAACCAAAAAACCAAACGTAAGGCAACTTATTGAAGTTAGTCGGCTAATACCTGTTTTCCGATATCAAAGGGCACATATTTGTATTTGATCATGTGCAGAATTTGGCGTTTCATTGTGAGGAAAAGAGAAAAATCCAGTAGCATAGCAATATTGGCCAGAAAACAGGTACATCCAACATGGAGAAGAAAGTCGATACAAATGCAACTACAAAAGCCTTTGTGATGGCATACCTGAGACCAAAAATGAAAAAATAGTGTAAATATATTTCAAGCAGTGTACAAGCAAGAAGAACACAAGTCGGAAAACTTACGTAAATGGAATAAATCAAATTAAAGCTAAAATTTCTTAAGGAACACACATCACAATACACAAGCAAAACAACAGCAAGACCATATTCTGCAAATTAGCTCGACCTAGGGCTGTAAATGAGACGAAACATATCGCAACCTATTTGAGTTCGATTCAGTCAACTCTCGAATGAATCGAATGAACTTGACTCGAGCTCAAACTCGTCTCTAATTCTTAACGAGCTGAAACGAGCTATTTCATACTGTTATGAGCCTTAGTGTAGGATCTAGTCACGGGTCTAGACATCGAAGATTTTCTGCTCCGACCTATGGTTAATCAGAGAGGCAGATTCGTCTCTACGAATAACTTTTATTTTATAGAATAATTGACTGTCTTCTTTATTCAATATTAGCAGCCTTTAATAGGTCTTCAGTGACAAAGGAAATAATCCTAATGGAAATAAAGATCCCTAACATATAGGATCTTAACTAGCAAGAGTAAGGTTATAAAGGAAATAAGAATATAATATAATAGAAGAAACAAATAAAACTCTAATTTGCTGCCTCGATATTTATTGCTTCATTCCCTGATATGCTTCTTAATAAAAGCATCCACATCAATACTCCCCTTCTCGGAGTTGAGCTAGTCCTCAAGGTCAAATTCAGGATAAGCTTTTCTGTAGAAGTTCAAATGATTCTCCAGTTGTGTCTTCTTGAGAACAACCTGTCCTGTGTCTAAAACTATAGATTTACCACCATTGTCCTTGCATTAGACTAATTCGTGGAACTACCTCTGATAACTGCCCTCCATAGTCTCCTTTCCGTCTACAACAAATTTCATCGTCAGAGTTGAAGTCCCATAAAATTGGACCAAGAGTACACAACCATTTTACCTCCAAAATCACATCAAACCCCTCTAATGGTACGGTATAAAAATCAACTTGAAAGTTGTCATTTGCAACCATGAACTGTACTGATTTACAAATACCTATGCTAGGCACCCGCTCTCCATTAGCCAAACAAACTTGTAGTCCAGGTATTTCCCATACTTTCAATCCCAACCTTGGCATCAAACCTTCACACAAGTTGTGTGTACTGCCTGAATCGACAAGTACTAACATTGTCACTCCCGACAGCTCTGCTATCAATCCAAAATAACCTTTTATATTTATGTCTTAAGGAATAAGACTCATCACAATTATAACATAGCCCCCTTAACCCTTCTTTCCGCCATTTTTTGTTTGTGTCAATCACTTGATAAAGGGTGCAGAAGAACTTACTTTGTTGATGTTCCCCACTGGTTTCGTTGGTTTTCCCCCTCCATTTGAACTAAATCTTTTAGTCGTTGGAATGATCAAATTGCTGTTAGTGTTTGGGGAGTTGGCAAATTCAAGTTGGTTCAAGATGAAATTTTAGAAGAGACCTTTTGTTTGCGTTCCAATGCTCGAGCCATATTCATTGCAACTCCTAGGTTTCTTGGTTGTTGCATCTCAATATCGATTCTAAGTTCCTCTACCAGACCAGCAGTAAAGAAATCTACTTCTTGTCTCGGTTTAAGATCGGAAGTCCTAGCCAATAGTGATTGAAATTGGCTTTGATATTCTTCTATTGACCCGGTCTGTTCTAGGTTGGAAAGTTCGCCCAAGGGATTATTACTCATAGGTGGCCCAAACCTCATATGACAATACTCTTTGAAACACCCCCAATCAAGGTTTGCCTCCTCTTCTTCCATTTGATCAAACCATATTTGCGCCTCTCCTAAGAGATTAAATGCCACTAAGCCTACCTTGTCATCTTCATTAGTCCGCTGATTTCCAAAGAATTTCTTGCACCGTTTCAACCATCCTAAAGGATCTCCAACACCATTATAGGTGGGAAATTCCATCTTAGAGTATCGTGCACCATATACCCACCTCGTTTTAAGTCTGGAGTCCCTTTTTGACTCTGCTGCTGTCTCCTTCAGTATTTCTCTCTAGATACTCTTTGGCAATCTTTTTGATAGAATGAGATAATCCAGCCATCTACTCTTCTAACGCCTGCTGCCTTGTAGTCATTTGTTCCATGAAATCACTCAACTTCTTTGTCAAATCCTCTGCATCACCCATGACAACTAACTCTAATACCATGTTGTCATGAGCCTTAGTGTAGGATCTAGTCACAGGTCTAAACATCGAAGATTTTCAACTCCGGCCTATGGTTAATTAGAGAGGCAGATTCGTCCTTGACTAAACCCCCTCTACGAATAACTTTTTTTAATATAATAATTGTTTGTCTTCTTTATTCAATAATAGCAGCCTTTAAAAGGACTTTAGTGACAAAGGAAATAATCCTAATGAAAATAGCAAAAGTAAAGTTATAAAGGAAATAAGAATATAATTAATAGAGGAAACAAATAAAACTCTAATTTGCTACCCTTAATATTTATTGCTTCATTCTCTGATATTGCTTTCCAATAAAGGCATCCACATCACATACCCAACTCAAAAACTCCCAAACAACTTGAAAAAAAATAATATATTAAGTTTTCAAATTAAATTATTAACAATATTAACATGTATATGTTGTTTTATAAAAAATACAATATAAGGTTTGCATGTACTTAAGATTCAAGTTCGAGCTTCAATCGAGCCAATTGTGAGAATGTTTCTAGTTCAAGTTTTCTTCGAACTCAATCTAACTTCAATTTTTGATTTCGAGTTCGAATCGAGCTTAACAATTTTAAGCTCAGAAGCTTTCGTAGAGTCCAGCTTTGAACTTGTCGAGTGAAGTCAAGCTCAACGTACTCGAATTGACTCAGATCGTTTACAACCCCAAGTCGAATAGTACGAAAACACTCACCTTAAGCATTCTAGAATTTGTTCAAGTCTACACACAAAACAGCTAATTTCACCTCTAACTGATATAGTAAGGTTTCCAATTAGCAGCGTCCAAGTTTCTAAACATAATACTTATTTATCATATAAAAATGGAAATTTTCTAATATAACCTTAATTGGGTAAGAAAACGGCAAAGCAAGGAATTACCAGAACTTGAACTCAGGTAAGCGACGAATAAAGGGCTTGAATTCATCAGAACCTTTGGTTGGCAACGAAGCACCATCCAAAGCTTCAAGCTCGGGATCAACTTTTGGAGATAAAAATCCAATCAGGAGGTTCAATACGTAAATCCCTAAACCGTAGGAAATTACATAAACCCTTGAACGTAATAAATCCGTAAAACGTAGATCATCGCCACCGCCAACGTCCCAAGCCACCTTTCTATCGTATGCGGCGTTGACCTATCGAGGTAATACTGGAATGTCCTAGAGAAATCGCTCTTACATTTCGCAATCGGCGTAACACCGCCGTCACTTTCCGAACCCTCCATAACAAAAGACACAAAAAGTTAGTAATCTGAAGGTAAGTTTGAGTCTTTGAGAGTTATGGTTGTTATGGTTTCGAGTTGAAATCGGGCAAGGGATTTCAGCAAGACTTTTCTGGATTCTCTGGTTTTCCCATCATTTTTCAAATAACTGTGGAAAGGGGTTTTAAGATTTCTGTATGGATAAAGTTATGAGCTACGTGACAGTCAAAGAGAGAACAAAACTGTGTGGTTTTGGGGCTTGTGGCCTTCTTTGGGGGCGTGCAAAGTTTGTAGATCAAAACTCTTTTGCCCAACGTTCTACTGAGATATAAGTACGGAACTGTTTCGATTTAATTTTATTGAGTTTGATTTTTAATTTAAGTTTATTTTATAACGGTTTTTAGAAAATATATTTGGCGGATAAAATTTATGTTTAAGATGAGAAATATTTAATCTTAAAAAAATAATGTAAGTTTATCTTACATATTTAAAGACAATTATAATAATTTCTCTCTTTATATTATTTTTCAATTAGATTCTTATTTTGTCAAATAAAATTAATATTTTTATAAATATATTTGTTTTGATCAGATCATATACGATTTGAGTTTTATCTAAAAAATGGATCAAGTTCAAGTCGAGTAAAATCATTCTAAACCAGAATCGAGTCGAGTTTTAGGTGAATGATGTATATTTTTTTAGTCAAATCATGTTGATCGAAAATCAAATCCAACCTGATTTAT